AGGTTTTTAGAAAAAAAAATTTGACCTTGAAATAACCTTGAAGGACACCAACATGGTCGAGTTTGAGGTCACCATTAACTGCAATTAAACAAAATAACTAAAGTATGCTATTTTCATCAACTGCGTTCTTCGAAGATATCCAGTCCTCAAAATTAAGTAACCTTTGAATGACCTTCAAGGTCAACCACAATTTATGGCCTTATAATGTTTTTGGACGTAAAATTTCCCGCTCTTTCGATTGCCGACGTCAAAAAAGGGGGTTTCCATTTAAAAAAATTGAGCTGACCTTGAAATAACCTTCAAGGTCATCGTCAAGGTCAAATCCAAGGTCACCATTGAATTCCTCGTCAAAAGTTACTACAAGAGTGACCTTAACATTTTTCAGAAATAATTTACCTGAGAAATTATTCAGGTGTTTCCAGACTTTTTGGACACCCTGTATATATATGTATATGTATATATATATACATATATATATATATATATATATATATATATATGTATGTATATTGCGATACACCATAATATACATATATATACATTACGATTTACCATAATCATATATATTTTTCTTATTATTTATATGTAAAATTGAAATGTTTAAGCAATTTTGCGCAAACCTTGAATATTCTTTTATTTCATAATATTCTCTGTTATATAGAGAATATATATATATATATATATATATATATATATTCTCTGTTATATAGAGAATATATATATATATATATATATATATATATATATATATATAATAAAATTTAATAATACTTTATTTTATTAATATTATTATATAATAACAAATTTTTCCTTAATATTATTAATAATATAATTTTCAATGCTCCTCAAATATTGTTGCAAAAAATTGTACTTTTTGTTCAATTTATATTCAACATTGCAGCAATATCTTGTAATCAATGTAGAAAAATCAACATATATTCTATGTAGAAAAAACATCCGCACTTCTATCTTCAATATTGCAACGTCTTATCAACTTTTTTTCAACGTTCTGTGCTGTATGGGAATTATTATTTTTGTTTCTCACATTTTATGAATTTATGAGGAGTAAAATCGTATAATTATAGATCGAGACATTAAAATGATCATCAATCAAAATGATCAATCGATTAATTAAAATTAATTTGCCCACATTTCTTAAATAATTTAAGTTTTTATTAAAATCTTGATGGACTTGGTTAGGTGGCGTGCATGAGTGTGTATGTGCGTAGAATAAGAGTTTAGTTAAGTGCGTGCGAAATAATATAGGAAGGTAGATAGTAAGGTAAGGTATAGGAAATCAGGTAGGGAAAATAGTGGTGTAGGTGAGTAAGTGAAGGGGATAAGTGGGAGGAAGGAGAAGTGGAGTTGGAGGTGAAATAAAGGTTGGGAGCTTTAGAGGTTATGGCAGCAGGAGTAAGGAGTGGGGTGGGGAAAGGGGTAAGAGGAAAAATAGAGGAAGGACAGAGGAAAATAGTGACAGAGGAGAAAAGCAATGGGAAAAGGGTGGTATTTAAGGAAATGAGTAAGGAGGATAAGGAGATAGAAGGAAAGGAAGGGGATCAAATGGAGAGGTGGAGGAAAGAGATAACGATGCAGGTCAGGAAGGAAGTGGATGAGCAGTTAAAGAAGGAGTTAAAGAAAATACAGGAAGAAAGGGTAAGGATGAGTGAACAAGTAAAAAAAGAAATTAAGAAATTGCAAGAAGAAAGGATGGAATATAGAGAGTTGTGGGAGAGGAGGTGGGATGCGTGGAGAGAAGAGATAGAAGAGAGAATAGAGAAATTAACAGAAAAGATGGATAAGGTGTGGCATTGGGGGAGGGAGAGGGATAGTGAGAATGGGGAGGTAGGGGAAAAGGGAAGTAAAGATAGTGGTAGTAAAGCGAGTAGCAGATATGGAGAGTCAAATGTAACGAGAAGCTCTGGGGGGCTTAGTGGGAGAGAGGTGGAAAAGTTAAAAAAGATAGTAGTAGACAAAGGAAGGGAAGAGAGAAGAAGTAATATTGCGATAAAGGGATGGGGAATAAGGGGAGAAGGTAAGGGGAGTAAAGAGGAAATAGAAAAATATTTGAAGGAAAAATTGCAGATAGAGTGTAAGATTGTGAGGGGTAGATGGAGTGGGGGAGTATATATAGCAAGGGTGGAAAATGAAGGAAAGAAAAGAGAATTAATGGAAAAGAAAAGTAAATTGAAAGGGGAGAATGTTTTTATTGAGCATGATTTAAGCTGGGAGGATAGGAAAAGACAAGAAAGGATAGGAAGCTGGGCAAGGGAGAAGAGAAGGAAAGGTATGGAGGTAAAGGTAGGATTTGGTAAAGTAAAGATTAATGAGAGATGGTGGAATTGGGAGGAGGTAATGGAGAGGGAAGGAAGGGGAGAGAAAATAGGAGAGGGGATAAGGGGGAAGAGAGGAGAAAGAGGGCAAGAAAAGGAGGATTTTTAACTAGCCAAGAAGGAGAGGAGATAAGAAAGGGGAAAAAGAAAAAAGAGGGGAGGGGGGATAAAGGAGAAGAGAAAGGCAGGGTAAAAGAAATAGGGGATGGAAAGAAAAGGAAGATTATGTTTTGGAATTGTGCAGGAATTGGGAATAAAGACAGGGAATTTTGGGAGTATATAGGGAAGCATGATTTTGTGAGCTTGATGGAGACATGGGTGGATGATAAAGGGTGGGAAAGGATAAAGGAAAGGTTACCAAAGTCACATCAGTGGGAATACAGTAGGGCGGAGAGAGAGAAAAGGAAAGGGAGGGCGATGAGAGGGATGATTATAGGAATAAGGAAAGGATGGGGGGAGAAGGAAGGAAAGTTAATTAAAAAAAGGGAGGAGGGGATAATTACGTCAGAAATAAAAGAGAAAGGAGAAAAGATAATAGTTATATCCATATATAATAAGGGTGGATGGAAAAGGTTGGAAGAGAGTTTGAATAGGATGGTGGAGGATGGAGAAAATGGGAAAATAATAATAGGAGGGGATTTTAATATTAGGATAGGAGGGTTAAAAAACAATGAAATGGTGGGAGAAGGAGAGGGTAGAAGAAGTAAGGATAAAATGATAGGAAAGGATGGGAGAAGATTAATAGAGTGGGTGCAAGAAAAAGGATGGTATGTATTAAATGGAGATTATAAAGGGGATTGGGAAGGGGAATTCACATATGTAGGTGCCAGAGGAAATACGGTGATAGATTATGTAATTGTAAGTGAGGAAATATATTGTAAGGCAGAAGATTTTGTAATTGGAGGTAGAATAGAGTCGGATCATATGCCACTAGAATTAAGAATAGAGGAAGAGGAGGAGGATGAAGAAAGAAGAGTACCAAAGGGAGGAGAGGAAGAGAACAAGGAAGGAGGAGGAGAGAAGGAATTTATAAGTTGGAAGGAGGAGGATAGGGTGAAATTCAAAGAGGAAACGGAGGACTTCGTGCTGGAAGAATATCAAAATACAGTGGAGAAGAAATGGCAAGGAATTAAAGAAAAGATACTAGGATCAATGGTGAGGAAAAAGATGAAGATAAGAAGGTGGAAATTGGGGGATAAGGACTGGTGGGATAATGAATGTAAAAGAGAGAAGAGGAAGGTAAAGAGGAGTTATAAAAGGTGGAGGAGTGGAAAAATAGGGAGGATGCAATATATAGAGGGAAAGAAGAAGATGAAAGAAATGCAAGAGAGAAAACAGAGGGAGAGAAGAAAGAAAGAAGAGGAAGAACTGAGGATGTTGAAAAAAGAAACGGAGGTGTGGAAATATATAAATAGGAAGAGGAAAAAGAGAAGAGAAATGGAGAATAAAATTGGAGAGGAGGAATGGAGAAGACATTTTAAAAGGTTATTAGATGGGGAAGAGGAAAAGGAAGAAGGGAGGAAGAGGAAAGAAAGGCAGGAAGGAAAAGAAGAGGATGAATTGGAGGAAAAGGAAATTGAGGAGCCGGTGAGGAGAATGAAGAAGAGGAAGGCGTTTGGAAAGGATGGAGTCCCCATGGAGGCATGGATGTATGCAGGGGAAGGGATGAAGAAAAGTTTAATAGAGTTAATGAGGCAGATATGGGAGGAAGGAGATATTCCAGGAGACTGGAGGACAAGTATTGTGGTACCGCTATATAAGAAAGGAGATAGGGAGGATGTGAGAAATTATAGAGGGATATCGCTGTTGTGTACGGCGTATAAGATATACGCGGAAATATTAAGGAAAAGACTAGAGAAGGAGGTGGAAGGCAAAAAGATATTGCCAGAGAGTCAGGCGGGTTTTAGGACAGGAAGATCGACGATAGATAATATTTTTGTGTTAAATCATTTAGTACAGAGGAAAGGAGAAAGAAGAGGAAAGGAGAGGTTATATGCTTTGTTTGTGGACATTAAAGCAGCTTTTGATAATGTTAATAGAGAGAAGTTATGGGAGATAATGGAAAGTAAAGGGATAAATCAAAGGATGGTAGAAAGGGTGAAGAGGATATATGAAGAGACCAAGATGATAGTGAAAACAAGGAATGGATTTACGGACAGCTTCTGGACCAAAAAAGGAGTGAGACAAGGGTGTGCGTTGAGCCCGTTATTATTTAGTATATATATTGCGGAATTAGATAAGATGATGGAAAGGAGAGG